TAGTGTGTTTTATATTTTTTTTATTAAACTTTTCAGGATATATGGATATATGTAGTGAAAGGATGTTGTTTGTTCACATTTCCAAAGATTTTTTTATAATATATATTACATTAGCAATTAGATATTTTTTTATTAAAAATATTTTTATAAATTTTTATTTTTAGTTGACAAATATTATTTACTTGAAGCTATAGTGATCATTTACTATGATAATTTATATCCACGTTCTTTTATTTTCTTTAATTTCAAACATTGCATATATTTAGATATTTTTAATTAATTTACCTTTTTTAATTTTAAACTTTTTATTACATAGCGCTGTGTGCTTATCTCTATCTGTAAAGTAAATAATTGATTGCGTGTGCCCTCTTCTTTGTAAATTGTTACATAGTGCAACTTACATTAAAATAGCAACAAAATAATACGTAATAATACCTGCAGCACGCATTAATACGTAGACAAACGCGCTATGAATACCATTTTGTATAATACACCAATAACGCAACAATAAACGATACTCGCGTGTTTCGTAGCGTTTCCGCTTAATCCGGCATTCTCCGCTCTTTGTACGAAGGGATCCTTTCCTGTTTACACACCCATAGCTTCGCATATTCATTCATGGTTACTTTTATTGAAAACTAAACAAATGTCTTTTCGAAACTCTTCTTTTATTTGATTCTTTGATTATTAAAATAAACAAAAAAAATATTTTGCAATAATTGATATTAATTGTGCTGCTTACCATTTTCTTGGTAAATATAATTATAAACTGAAAAATTATCTTATATAATATATATATATATATAATTATATGTTATATATATACAGAATGACCTATATAAAATGTTACAAGCTGTTACACTCTTCACCACTGTACAGATATTAATTTGAATTTTTTTTTATCAAATGGGACAAAATGTCTGAAAATTGATGTATAAAAATCAAACGTAATCGTGACACACGTTATTAAATAATTGATTTCATGGTATTAAATAATTTAAAATTATAAGTTATATGAAAAATAATTATGTACAAAAGTTGCATTATTTCGAGGATTTATTACATATCAATTCACGTATAAATATACATAGTGTGTAAATTTGTTTTTATAAGTGAAGACATTTAAAAATTGAAAGTCAACTTCGATTTTCTAAATATTTTTCAGTTTTGAAACTATCAAAGTGTTATTTAAAGATTCGTTAATTGTAACATTTTGTATAAAAATTATGTAGGTTTAAAAACGCGGATTTGGATTTTATTTTAATGAATAAAATAAAGGATATGAATATTCAACTTTAATCAAATGAAGTTAATTTATATAAGTAATAGATGCGCGTATACAGTTTTCCTTATTTTCGCGTGATTCGCCAGGAGATTTTCGAGCAGCTTGTCTACGCAAGAACACGTCTTTTCTCTTTCGCGGGAAACGGTCTTCTGACTTCCTTCTCTCCGAAATTGTCAACAGTCTTTTATTTTCGGTAACATACGCGGATTATTCGAGAAGGTCGCCGTAGCAGTTACCTGCTGATTTTCGCTCGCATAAACAAGGCTATTGTCTCGACAACGAACACACAACACGCTCAAATAACAGGGGATATAATAAATTTAGACAAATAACCTGTTTCGACAACACGCATGACGAGACATAACATGTCGGTAGGATATACTTATTTTATATTAACGGTAAAACTTCTTAATTCCTACAATTATAAGGTTAAAATAACCAAAGAAAAATAACAAAAAATAAAAAACAAACAACTATACATTTTCTTACACCAATTAATTCGTTTAATTAGTTTAGGGATAAAAAATATTAAGATAAATTATCCAAAAATTAAATATTTTATGAGATATTATGTATATTTTATATCAAAATATGCCAGATTAGAAGCTATAAAATATCTCGCCAATAATTCAACTTTTGGCTATCTTATCTTTATAATTTTGTTATGCAGAATATTACCAAGAATCTATTTACACAAAACACAAATAGAAAAGTTCCATTTAAATAATCGAAGTTGACTTTGAAAAAGAAAAATTTATGCACTATGTAACGATCCCCTAAAAGTAATGCTACAAAAGTATTTTTATATATAACTATTTTTTTCGTACGACTTATAATTATAAGTTTTTCGAAGTTAGATGTCCCACCCTGTATATGTATATGCTATATACTATAATATATGCTATATATAGCTATATGTAGCTTGTTTATTTTCTTCTACAAATGTGACTTGATGTTTATAAAACATTTTCAATATATATGTATATTTCGAGAAATAATTTAAATATGAAATAAAATATTTTAATTAACTTATGGAAATGAAAATATCCCAAGAAAAAAATTATTTACGATTATGTCATCAATTATCAAACATTATTTAGTGTTCGGTGGTATTCAATTACTGTCAGTGTTTCGATGACAATTACTTTTTATTTTCACATTAAATCATAAAAGCTCGTAAAAGTTACTAGAAACTACTTATTGTTAGATGGCTCGCTCGTTGACGATATAAGTCAACAATAATCCACAACGTGCATCCAACCATTCGATAATTATGATGATCATATACTGGAAAAATGAATTGAAAACAAAAGGAAACGATAAACATAAAATTACTACATATATATGGGAAAGGATTTATTTATACAAATAAAAGTATGCGTATTTAAATGCGCATGAGGTTATCTATTATTTTCAAAAGATAACAGAAGGTATAAAAGAAGATAAAAGAAGAATAAAGAAGAGAAAAGCATTCTTCTAACATTTATATAATTTTTGTTATATTAATAAAAATTTTTTCATATATTAATAAAACTTTCTTGTTTGATATATTTATGTTATGTACAGATTAATTAATAATGATTAATTATTTATTAATAGGATAATTTATTATTATACAATTTGTATATATATACAAACAAGCGGAAACTAAAAACAAACGTTTTTAAACTTTAAATCTTATATTTAAATAATTATATGAAAATTTCAAAAGAAAAATATACCTATAATTATGACTCACATTTCTTTTTATATACTCTGCGATCTATCCACCTCTCTACATGAATCTATATAAAACTACATGTATTTTTAAAACTTTGCTGATAACGCAACATGACATGACTTCAATTTCGTTATCTCGTTATCAGTTATAAGGGTGTCAACAATGTTATCGATTCTCAACGAAATGACCATATGTAATGAAGCTTTTAGCAATTTTAAGTGTAATGGATTATTATTAATAACAACATGTTTTATAAGAATTTTCTTAATGTCAAATCACAGTGTCAAAATTTTTCTGTAATTGCAATTCATAAAGTTTTCTGAGAACAGTTTATCTTTAAGTCGATCTCTCTTTCCTATATAATAACACGTGTACAGTTACGCTACGATGAGTCATGTTCATTCAACGTTAAATAGACACTTACTCTTCACACTTCGACATTCTTTGTAATTTTATAAGAATGCTGTCTAATTAATAAGCATGAATAATTATCATTTTACGTGAATAATTATATAATTTCAAATGAGAAATATGTTTATCAGCTCTCAATATTAAGAATAATATATGATATTTTAAATCGGCCAATAGAGCCCAGGCCGAAAAATTATATAATTATTGATGTATCCTATATGTATGCAATAAAAGTTATCCAATTTCTATAACATATTATATCGGTCTTTTATATATATATATATATATATATATATATATATATATATATTTAATATGTACAATACATTTATAAAGTCTTATCGAGTTTAATAGTTTTTTAATAGAGAGTGAATATTTATATGTTGAACTGGTTTTGTGATATTTTATTATAATTTATGTTTAATAAAAAAACTTGTAGGCAGATACAATCGAAAAAAAAATATTGAGACAAGTTGCTAAATCGGGACTTTCGTTATATCTACGTTTTTTTTAAGTACGGAAAATAGACAAATTTATTAAAAATATAAAATCTTGAACTGTAAGATTTATTTAATTATTTGGAATTGTACGAGAAAAATTTATGTCCTGTGCACACAATTAATTAGTTTCAATGAAAATTAATTTTTCTTTGAAAATGACTCATCACTATCTGTCTCTTTCTTTCTCTAGTAAGGTATTCCCGGGTATCCCATGTATTGTAATTTCAATCTGTTGTTTAAATATATATTTTACATTAACTGCCTACTAAAATATAATAAAGTTCGTTTTATTTATTTATTTTAGGATATTTAGGATTATTTTATTAATTATAATAGGATAAATTTAAATATATATATATATATATATATATATATATATATATATTTTTTTTTTATTTATCTTCAAATTTTGCTTAAATAGATAAGAACGACTTTTGAAAAAAATGTTATCTTACAATTAATTTCGAATATTAATTTCCATATAAATATTGTATTACTTATATCAAAATAGAGATATGTTTGACATTAATGATATACAAGTAAAAGTTAAAAAATCTTTCACTTTTATTCTCATCTCGAGAATGCCATCATCCTACTTTCTCCAAGAAAACATGTTCTCTTACCTTTTATTTTAGAAAAAAAGCTCAATTTTTTATTATTGCATAGATACACGACTATTATTAGAATTGATTTTCGGATTTGAACCGCGCAGCGACTTTTTGTTTGGTTCCAACGTTTTGTGAACATTTTCCCAGGTAACACATATTTGTTTCAGAAACGTTTCACAAATGTTTCTTCAAAAAATGTTTCATGACCGACTCTCGAAAACACGTTTTTTATTAGTTAAAATGTCCACTCGAAAAATATGTTAAGAGAAACGTTCATTTTCGAGTTTAAGAAACGGTCAGATATCATTTTTTTACCGTTTTATACTTTATTCTTTAAAAAGTTTGCAATAATAATATGTCAGCTCCTAAATCATATTGTGTAATAATTTTTGCAACACTCATATATTTTCCGCAATGTTAATATAACATTTATAAAATATTACAGAATTTTTCTTCTTTATTTTCTTCATTTATTTGAGCATTTATTTGTCCCATTTTTGAATAATCAGTTTAATATTTGAATTCCCTGTTAGAGAAGAGTATCAAAAAAGTTAAACTGACAAAAATAATTGATTTTAATAACTACTTTTTGCACGCTTTATATAATTCTCGTGTAATGCAGCTCAATATTGGAATATTTATTTTATTCCAATATTTTAGCAATATTTCGTGTGATGTGGAGGTGTAATTTAAACGGGAAAAAAAATATATACTAACCTTTGAACTTATGATACCGCGAACGGTGATGCCGATCATCGGAGCGAAGCGTATCTCCACACCAGGTTCTATGACGAGCTTGCCGTCTCTTTCGATGAACAGATCCTCGCGCAGCAAATAAGGACTCTTCGATATCGGCAGTATCCTTTCACCCCGAACAACGCGACCACCGTGCAATTCATGTAGACCGCCATTATTGCTCATCACGCTATTGTTCAGCAGCACAGTCGGTTCCGTATAATAAATGGACGTTTGTTCATATCTGTCGTCTAACCGGACTCCGGTTATGACGGCCAGAATCGGCAGCGAAATGCCTAACCAATGCATTTTTCGGCGCATACTTCTGTCGTCAAGTGGTTCGAATCATCGGTTTATTATATGTCACTGTATAGAATTTATCAAAGAGACGTAGCCTGCCTCTTTGTTGTCCTTTATTCGCTATCGGCGAGCGGGAAAAGTCTCAAACAATTAACATTGGGATAAAATTGGCGTCATTACAATATTTCATCGTGCGATTTCTCGATATTACACGTATAAATGAACACATATTCCAATTGAGCATTATACGACCAGGTATACACAGTAGAACGATCCGTGACAGGCACTCATGTCGAGATCAAGTTTTTGCTTCACGCAAGGAATCATCCAGTCTTATCGCCGACTAATCCTTGATGTGTCATTCGACGATCCGTATGCGTTAGACATCTTTCTGTTTGCTCACTATCGCGTAATTATGTTATATTTTCACACTGAGTATAAACTTAGACACGAGCTTCGAAGGCATATATTATCTGTATAAAGGAACATTTGATGCTCGTTCGTATCTTCGTGATAAATAAAACTGTCTCTCTAAAAAAAAACAATTAGTAAATTGTCAGAATGTTGATTTCTTAAACCAGTATTGGATTAACATAACAATGACATAAAATTAAAAAATGTGCAAAAGAAGAAAAAAGAAAAAACTTGTGAAAAAGAAGAGAGAGCAAACTTACGAAAAATAGATAATTAAATCTATTTTATATCATCTACGCTATCTTTTATTATTATGATAATTTATGAAAATTGAAGAAACTTTCAAGTAATAATTCTAAATTAATCCTAATATATATATATATATATATATATATATATAACTTTTAATAGATTTAAAATCAATTTCTTTTTATATAGTTGCTACTTCAATTCAATCTTATTTTTTAAATAATTTCTCACTTTGATATTGGATATTTTATTAATAAATCTAAATTTCACATTTTATAAAAATCGATTAGAAATTTAATTAAAACTAGATTTTATTATCCATTTTTATCTTTAGAAATTTTCCAAATTTTTCCTTTAATTGCTTATAGCTTAGATATTATCTAGATTTCTCATCTTTGTATTCAAGAAAAGTTGCAGAAAAAACAAAAAAAATAAATAATTGTTACAAATATATGATTTCTGTTCAGAACTATTTTAACAATTTATTATTCTGCACTCTTCACACAATAAAGAAAATATTAAAAACAGGAATAAATATTAAGCATTAAGCCTATTGCACAATACAAAAGTACAGGAAATTGTATAATAGAGAATAGAAAATATTCGCCAATAGAAGCAGATAAATATATATATTAGCACATAGTAATCTATATTATTACTTGTTCTTATTGTGATGAATATTTTCTATTCCCTGTTCCTATTGCTTGTACTTTTGTTTTGTGCAATAAATCTAACACTTAATTTTTATTCAGCCAACATTTATCTATCGTGCACAAAAGCTTACTCGGTTTGTTATTTTTCATATTTCGCACAAAGAGTCGCAGAATATAATGAATCTTCTTTGAATTTTAAATGCGAAAGGAACATTCTTCCTGGTAACGTTAGTTGTCTTTAAATTCTCACGAGTTTTTTTATCATATATTGTTATATATCTATATACGGGGTGTCTGATATAAAGTGCATGTTACATCAAAAGTATACAAGTAGATGTCATTATCTGGAGACGATTTTTCCTCAGCAAAAATGTCGAGCAAGGCTATCATTTTTTGGATGTTCTCAATTTTTGTCATCATGTATCTTTATAACTAAACCTTAAATTAAAATATTATTAAAGTAAACTCTACTTAAAATTAATAGAAGAATGTGGTTTTGTTAATATTTTATTTCCACAAGGTTTAGTTTGCGAAAAACCCTTTATTTTCAATAGCTTATAACTCGAAAATTATTGATGCCTCAATATTTTTGCTGAGGAAAAATTATCTCCAAATAACAAGATCTACTTGTATATTTTCGGTACGACACTTTGGGTCGAATACCCTGATATATTGGGTTTTTTTTATTTCTTCAGCCCTAATAGTTACAATAAGGCGCTATTAAAAGGAGCATATTCTTCTTTTTTTTTTTAACTTGGTCTAAAAAACCTTCCAATTATAACCCGTCTCTTTCCCTTTCTCTCTTTATAGATTATATATATATAGTGTATATCCGTTAATATCACTTCGTGCTCTTCGCATGTGTGTGAACGCGTCGTGTGAATCGCGACATGACGCTATGCAGCAAAAGAAGGAATAAGAAATGAAAATCACCTTCCGCAACACTTGCACTATTCGCGATCACCCTAAGACGCGGAATTCGAATTCTAGCGGTAACTTTTTTATGCGCGAGGAAACAAACGAACAACGAACTGGAAGCGTAACGCCGCCGTTATTCGCGCTCCGAATCCCTCTCGTTTTTCATCACAAACGAATATACCGCGGTCATTTTTTTTTCTTTTCGGAGCAGCCGTTACTGCAGGTACGCGTCAAGATTGATTCGAAAACCGAATCGCCCGAAGTATAATCCCGCGTCACTCAGAGATCCCCCCCTCCTGCCCCTCTCTTAGATCACCAAACGGCAAACGACGCCGATCGATGGATCGTATCAAGGATCTTATTAAATCTCCTTGTCGTAAGAAGCAGCGACGCGACGCGATCGGCGAAAAAAAACCGGCACTCGCCTGCAGACACGGCTCTAGATCCGAATTGTGGGCGCGGTTTTGTACGCACTCTGTGCGTACGTAACGTACACGAGTTCCCTGTCACGATCGTTCCCTTGCGCAATTCGTTGCCGTCCCGTACTAAAGTACTACGATCACTAAACCGCGATCGCCGTGGTACACTCACTGTCGCTGGTAGCGCGCTGACGCTACACCTACTACGAATCGAGCTATAGAATGAGTCACGTGATGCACCCGAGCACGTACGTACGTCACGCAGCTTGTGAAACAGGTGAGTCTCTCCCAACTATACTGGGTGCTCCGGAAATATTAATGTCTATTTTTTGCTGTAATTTATTCTTGAACTCTTGAAACATCTCCGTAATTTTTCACGTCTTCATAATTTTTCATTTTTCGGAATAAAAAATTAATTTATTCCTTTCTCTCATCTTTAAATTCCTAAAAAATTTTATGTTAGCGGAATTTTAATTTGAGAAGTTTAGAATTATTAGATATGAAATTAAGAATTATAAATTAAAAATTAAATTAAAAATGATAAAGACGCAGTAAACGATATTTTCTTTCTGCGTTTTTATTACGAAAAGTTCTAAAAGAAATTATGATTAAAAGCGAACAGCTGATGATTCTGGAGCATCTTATACATACATATATGCTGCAGCATCGCATTATCGTTTATCAAGAGATGTCCGTAAATCTATGAAAGAACCTTTCAAAAGGAATTTTCAGCTTTTGTTCTTTTAGAAAACAAGCAAGAAATTTTCCATTGGCATGATTCATCAAAATATTTAATCAAATATTTATCGACCGGAAAAATTAATATTTCAGAAATGTTCATGCGAAATTTATTACAAACTTTGGAAATTTGTTAATGATTAGAAGATATAAAAAATATAAGATTGCCCAATTTTATTTAAATATTTTAATTATTATATTTTTTTGTAAGAAGATATTGATGTAAAATTATGAAAATATCTAAAAAAAACGTTGAAAATTCGATTGAAACATTTCAAAAATTCTAAAAATCCAAATACATATAATTCAATAAATACATATATAATTAATATACAAAATATAATCTCTCATGTATGTTTTTTTGTTTGTATATTTAATCTTTGTCCGTATTGAAGGAAAAATAAAAGAATAATTAGAAAAATAATTTGTACATTATTTTTTTAGAACGAATGAAGAAATGAGAAAAAAATACCCATATAAAATATGATTATATATTGTATAATGTATATATATAGGTATATATGAAATTTTGTATCACTTCTTCAAATTACACTATCTCTAAAAAAATCAATTCGAAAATTTTTTTAAATAATTTTTCAATTAATTATTTTTCTTATTATTTTTCCTATACATACAAACAGCAGTTATACAAGAGAAAAGAAAAATATATAGAAATATATTATATTTTATATATAATTATATATTATTTAGATTAGTTAAATTGAATTATATATACCTAAGTATATAAACTTATTTGTTCACGAATTTTTAGTTACTTATTGTCAATTAGTCAAGTCATCATCTGTTCGAACAGATCTTTTCAAAAGTGTAAATTATTATTGTATCAGCAAAAAAGAAGGGGGAGAACTATAAAAATACAGGAATTGTAATTATCGATTAAGTCGGCAAATTGGCGACACAAACCAAACAGGATCTGCATTTCTCAGGCATTTAAATGGTGATGTATACATATTATTGATATGTATGTTTAATATGATTAATTAATTCTTTCGTTTATTGTTATGTATTTTTTTTACATTAAAATTTTGATTAGAGATAAAATAGATATAAAATTAGATATAAAAAGCTACTATTAATAAAAGATCAAAAATGTAATAATTGTTTTTTTTCAATTTAATTTCTGTTTGATATTTGAAACAAGCCCAAACTGAAATTCGGACTATATTAAATTAATTTGAATCAATAGAATAAATGGAAAAACATTATCTGTTTACCACCTACTTGAAGTACAAAAGAGAAATTTAGTTTTATATAAATTATCTCGAATTTCATAAATTAAATTTAATTACTTTTATAATTTATTTTATTATTAAAATTAAATTAAGTTTATAATTAAGTTAAGTTATTAACTTATATACAAACTTACAATTTATATTTAAACTTTTCCCGATTTAAAAGTATAAGGATAAGTGCGTGTTATTGCAATGAGTAACTGATTAATTGTGACTTTTTTCTTATAAATATATAATATATATTATTATATGCATTATGTTACATCGTAATCATATATATTCTATATACATAGCAAATGATTGATTCAACTTAATTAAGTTATTATTAATGACTTATTATATTACGGTATTAATGACTTAAGATAAGATTATCAAAACTGAATATTTTACGAGATATTTTTATATTTTATGTAAAAAAATTGTTAACTTATCAAACCTTATAACTCAAAAGTACTTATAAGAGAAAAATACTTTATTATAGTGTCTTTGAAAGCTCTCGAGATAAGCTGCAAGAATATACAAAGAAAAATAGCAGATTCCATTTAAGAAATTAAGTGATCTTTATGTGATCTTTAAAGGACTATCCAAGATTAAATCTTTACTACTATTTTATATTTTGTGTCTCCCTCGAAGTCATACAACTTTTGTTTCAAACATTTTACTAAAATTACATAATATCAAAATATTTGGCTGTGAAAGTTAAAATGGGACATCTCTGTATAATATTAAATAGAATTATATATCCGTTATTGTGCGATTACGTGGACTATTTTTTCCTGGAATTTTATTGCACTTACGTAACATTAGTATAACTTTTTTACTGAAATCAAATCAAATATATTAAGACTCGACAAGAGTGATAAGCAGATTCCAAATAAAGTCCCTATAGAAAAAGTATATGGATACTAATATGCACGCTTGGCCGCCATATTCAATCAAATACCGGAATTGCTTATTCGTGATTATTTTAAACAACTGTTCAGTTTCTTTATGCTCAATTTCTTTATTCATAATCCGCTCTTATATTTAACATCGTTTTATTGTCAGGGTAATAACTATACATGTATATGTACAAAACAAATGGAAGCTCGCTGAAAATGGCGGAACCAATCACTTCGGCACTGTCTAGATTCTTTATAGAGACTCTAACTCCAAACTGATAATAGAGACCCTATGCGGTGACAATGCGAAACCGGTTTCAGGCTTACCAACCTGAAAACAGAGGTGTAAAATCTCCGTATACGTATAAACAAACACCATTGCATTGCTCGCGCGGCTCTGTACCGCAGACCACAGAGAGAAAGCATAGAATAAGATCGCTATAATTTACACAATAATGTGTAAAACGTATACTTATCTGATTATATTAAAAACAAAAAAATTTTATTTTTTTATTTATCTTTTTAATATAAAATCGGTATTGTTCCAATTTTGTTTCTATATGTACTTTAGTCGTGAAAAAAGCATTTATTATTCTATTCAACTAATAAAAAGAAAAGAGGGCAGAAAAATTATCGTATCAGTAAAACAAAACGGTTTTAGGATCAAATATGTAATTTTCAAAATCAAATTTAAAACTTGCATAAATATTATACATAATGTGTATAATTATTATGCATATACATAAAAATATATTAATATATAATTTACTATTTAATTTATCTTTAATAATTTCATAATTATACTTTCTCTTACATAACTATAATTACATTATATGTATATATACATATATATATATATATATATATATATATATATCATCCAAACAGCACACAATATTTATGATAAAGATTCATAAATATTTATGAATATATATTTTTTTTAATATTATATAAATATTTTGAAAATGTTTTATATAAAAATCTTTGTTTAACATATTATTAAAACATAGATTAAATATTTCATATAATATTTATGGTATGTAAAGATAAATATTTATAGTAATTATTTTGTAAATATTTTTTAACTAAATTTATTAGTTCTTTCATTTACCGCTATATATGTGACGTATCTTTCTCGTATTTGATTTTCGTCGTGAAAATTATATAAGGCTGACAAAAACGGAAATTAATAAAGTTAAAAATGTTATAACATTATTTCTATTTTTGAGCTACATTCTGCAACAGAATGTCTTTTAACAAATAAATTTACGTATATATCGATGTGTACGTCAATTTATTTGTTAAACTATTCTGTTGCCTAAGTATATATTCAGTGTGTTTTGTTTCTCGTTGGTAAAACCTTGTATAGAAGGTTTGCACGCCAAGGCGGTAGTTTTCGTTAATGATCACTCGCGGATTCGTTTTAATATACTTTTATTCAAATCACAAATTATAATAAGAGTGTTAGAAACGAGGCGGACAATATTTCAACAAAAGGTGTATCGATCTATCTCGTCTCGTGGCTGGACGCTCAATAATGATCCGAGACACGTAGCCAAGGCGCGAAGCGAGAATTTTGGGGATTTGCGCAGGCGATTCGCGTCGAGCGAAGAAAAAGACAGGCGAGTAACACGTGGATCACATGTGTTTTTGACGTGTTGTCCCGCGTTGGCGCGAATAATTACTGAGATGTCGAACGATAATATAAACGGAGAATTGAACGACCTATACTTTAGGATTAGGCTTATTCCTGAACATACCGCCCGCCTCGAATGTAGGCATTCGAAAAAGTACAAATGGTTTAACAATAATAAAAGACATAATGGAATAAACGCTGTACAAAGAATATCGGTATCTCGTAGATATTTCAATAACAAAGAACGGGTGTTAGCGCATATTAAGACGAGATTCCGCCCGCCATGACGGAATCTTTTACTTCTTCGGTATTAATCGCAACAGGTAAGAAGCATAGTTTCACGATCGGTCGTTTATATTCAGAACGGGAGGTTTTGACCGTGACAACGCGCGTCAGGCCATCTTCTCCTGGATGACAGGCGACAATTCGTCCAAGATCCCAATGGCTTGGCGGAGCCAAGGGATTACGCACTAGGACTATTTGGCCAACTTTGGCAAGTCGCTGGATAACGCGCCATTTTGGGCGTTGTTGAAGAGAATGCAAGTAATCGCTTGACCAAGACCGCCAAAACTCTTCCGTCAGACGTTGAATCATTTGCCAACGCGACAATCGATTCTCGTTAAATTCAAGCACGCTTGGTTCGGCGGGAGCGAGAAGAGAGGTACCGATCAAGAAATGACCA